TCAAATATATTTGACTTTGGCAAAAACAATTTCTCACTTACACACGCCCCTTATAAACTGACCTCCAGACATTCTAAATCACCCTAATTTTTACACTCCCACACTCTACTCTAACTCCTACACCCTATTAACTCTGAAAGAAACGCTTTTGCAACTTTCGTTCTGGGACTCGAACTGGTGACCTATCTGTTGACCGGCAATGCTGCTGCATGTTACGCTCTTGCCCCTAGTTTCAAAATGCTTTCCAACAAAAACCTCTTTAAGCATGCTCAAAAAATATTTTTTAAAAATTATTTTTTATGTGGTATTTGAGCCATTTTTGATTTATTCCATCATCATTGATGATTGAGAAACTTAAGGGGGGACACCGCGCACTTTTTTACTGTTTTTTCGAAATTTGATTTTGAAGTGGCTATGATGTTCATGAAGGATGTACTAAATAATTATTGTTAAGAATTTCATGTAGAACAGTTTTGTGTTGATACTATGGTCCTCCGATGAGTGGATCGGTGTCGGTAACGACATCAGTGTTCTGAACACACAGGTACATTTTCCGCCAAAACGGGTAATACCAAAAAATGATCAAAGTGTCAAATGAAATGTGACTAAATTATCTAGATTTTGTCTGACTCGGAAAATTTTTAAGTAGTTTGACGTCTCAGATAATGATTTTTGAATGATGGTAAAAGACGAAAATCTTTGAAAACTGACTTAACAAGAATATGTAGAGGGCAGCACTGAAATGCACTGTGGAAGCTACAAAATGAAATCTCAATTTCAAGATACTTTTGACTTGCAATCTAAAATAGAACCAATTGGTCTAAAACTTTCAAATTTTAGTTTTAGGTTAATTGAAAGTTGAATTGTTGATAACCAAAAAGAATTTTAAAAATACTCAATTCAAAACATGTTAAAAAATTATTTAAAAACACACATTCTATGCCGTTTATAAAAAAATTGAAACCAGATTATCTCCAGAATTCTACGATGAAATTTTTTTCTGATTTCAGATTCGTGTTAAGCATACCTGAATTAGTAAAGAACAACTGTTTTTCTTTTGGGTACCATCCAAGCTTATTTAAATGTCCCATTGTGTTACCGGACAAACGGAACTATATCATTTTCTCAAATTTATTTTTAAGCTAACAACAGTATAAAAAAATTTAAAATGAAGTTTTTTTTACAATTTCTATTTAATTTTTTTTCAAAACCATTGATCACTATTTGTTTGAACCACTGGGAAACTTTGTCATCCCAAATAGACCCTGTTTTGTCAGCGTTTACAGTAAAACCCTGTTTAACTTTTTCTAAAAACAATTTTTTGTACTTTTCAAAATTAACGACATAGAGAAAAATGAAACAATGTTCCTTGGTAAAAACCGCTTACATCTTCAGAAAAAAAGAACATTCTAGCAGTCCGGAAACAGTTTAAACTGCTGTTAAAGTGTTCAACTGAAAGTTTTTTCTTTTTTCTTGTGCATCTTTTTACTGGTCAACGTTTGGTTTAACAACGTGTACGTGTTATCCCTGAGCTCCTTTCTCTACTGGTTTTTAGTTTTCCCACTTTTTAACGCTTATGTTGCTTATAGTAAGTGATGTGACATGTTTTTGCAAAAAAAATGTAATTAAAAAAGCATTTTTAGCTCTTTTTAGTCTTATCGGTTTCCCCATACTTTCCGTTTGGTACCTGCGCATACTGCAAGGTACACTGCTAAGAGGTTTCACTAAACTGCTGTCAAAAATCAAAAGAAAAAAATCGGGTTCATTTTCAAGCATTTGGTTCACCTATTTTCAATTAAACCGAAAACTAGTGCACTTATGTGGCTCCATCGAGGCATACGCCCAGTACTGTACGTCCTACATGAACATCCTCTACCCTTTCTACATTACCGTCCAGTGTTACCTCCTTTACATTGCATTTTTTGTAGACAATTTCCAGTCTGTTCAAGTGGTCATTGCCTTTGTGGCTGTCGCCAATTGCAATCTTTTTCTGTTTTCTTGCACAAACGAGTGCTCTGTCATTGCAGAACATAATTCCATTTTTGAACTGCTGAATATAAAGTTTGCCCAAATTGAGGGTTGCTTTTTTAGGCAGAGAAAAAACGGAAGTGCATGCACAAATCAGAGAATAAAGATGGAAAGTTGGGCAGCTCATAACAGACTTCACCAATATGCGTTTAAGGTTTTTGCCAACAACCGAATCAGCTCTGAAACGTTTTACATAGTAAAAAATAAATAATAATTTTAAAAATTGATTTTTTTTATTTAGATCATTTCTGAAACGAGCGTTTTTTTATATTTATTGCAAAACAAGTTTATAATTTGCAAATACCACAAAGCAAATAAATTGTTATTGTTTACACATTTTAAATTTTTTCAAATTTTTTAAAATTACAATTGTTTTTGGCCTTTACTAAAGTTCACCTAGACCTGATTTAGCGCCGTCATCAACCTACAACAGTAGTTGGTTGTGTTACTCAAAGTACCTCTTCCCCGTATCTTCTCAATCATCAGTGTACATTTTGTCATTTGATCTGGAGTAGAGTAGGGCAGCAGTGCTGCACTGCTCTTTATAAGGTATTTTGCGTTTCGATGGCACCAGATAAAATGACTGATAAAAATACTTAGCACTTTGCAGGCTTTCAAACAAATAAAAGAGAAAAAGCTGCACTAAACCTTTGCACTTGATTTAATTTGCTTACACTTGTGAGACAAACATTTAATTTGCATTTTATTGTTAAATTAAAAAATGAATCAGTTACCCGAGTTGTTCAAGTACTTTGTTGGCGTCCTCGGCACATCTTACTTTCTATGGTACTTAGAAATTTTTGGATCAACCTTTTTGAGACATTTAGCAGTTTTGGGAGCACTGTCCATTTTCAGCTGGACAGTGGCTTGGGCAATTTTTGAGCGATTAAACACTGAAACTGTGGCCCCAGGAAAGAAGGCTGTTCTGGTCACCGGTTGCGATACTGGCTTTGGCCATGACCTAGCTCGACGACTAGATCAGTTTGGTAAAAATGTTTTATAAAACTTTAAAAAATTTTAATATTTTGTTTGTCTAGGTTTTACCGTGTTTGCCGCTGTTCTCTTTCCTGAAGGTGAAGGCGCAAAAACACTGGCCAGAAATTGCAGCAACCGCCTGAAGGTAGTTCGCATGGACGTCACCAAAGAGGCGGAAGTTCAGGAGGTAGTCAAGCAGGTAGAAGCAACTAAACTTCCCCTCTGGGCCGTAGTGAACAACGCCGGCATCGGTTTGGGCGCCCCCTTTGACTGGGGCCACGACGTGGACGAGTACCGAAAAGTTTTTGAGGTGAACGTCTTTGGCCTGGTCCGAGTCACCAAACAGCTGATGCCACTGCTGAGAAAGACTAAAGGAAGTCGTGTGGTGAATGTGGCGAGTGTCGCCGGAAGAGTAGCAGCCCCTACTATGGCTCATTACTGCATGGCAAAGCACTCGGTTCGAGTCTTTTCAGATGTTTTAAGACGGGAGCTGAATCACCGAAAAACAGAAATACCCAGTGAAAACGTCTCTGTGGTAGTCATTGAGCCCATCTTCTACAAAACTCCAATTGCCAATGTGGAAACGATTGCTCGACAAAGAGCAAATGCGTTTGAGCGAACTGAAGAGCATATAAAGGCGGCCTACAGTGAAGAGTTCCGCCGAAACCTGGACACTTCCGCTGCTGACCGGATTGGAAAGCTGATGCGTGACAATGTAGGCGAAGTGGTTGATGCACTGGAGGCTGCTGTTACGCTGGTCAGTCCAAAACTTTACTATCGTTGTTGCGGTTACGGTCATGTGCTGACCACCTTCGCTGCATCGCACCTGCCTGAAGCACTGCTGGACTGGTTCATTGCGAGGAGATCGTAAAAACAAAACAAAATTATTTATTTTTAACTGTAAAACTTTTATTTTTAAATTTTAATGTATGCAAACTTTAAAATAATTTTTGTTTAACAACTTTTGGTCTAATCACAAACTGCAGATAGAGCAGCAGCATCAGATAGGCGTTGGCCACTACATTCTCTGCAATGGACAGTTTAGTGATTGGAAAGAAGGAAGAGTAGCTGAAAGAAAGTTTATCTTTTCCCAGTATTGCAACCATTGAGTTGACTTTGAGGTTGAGCTTGAATTCCCTGAAACTTGCGATTTTGTTTTGTTTTAGTAGTGAGTTGTGATGATCCACTCTTCTTATCATTACCCGATTGTACAAGGCATACATTTTGGCACTTTGACAGGGAAAGTAGGCCAAGTAGAGCATGGAAAAGTTCATGCCAAAGTAGGCACCAGTGCAAACAAGCAGGACTGAAACCTGAGCAAATGCTGAGTTTACAGTTTCTTCTTTGATGTTTCCAGCATTTGTTTGGAATAGAAAAACTGTGCATAGGACGGAGATGGAAATCTTTACTGAAATGTCCCAAGAGAAGTAAAACTTGGAAGCAAACACGTTTAACATGTTCAGCTCTCGGTGTAAAGCGCTGTACAGTTTGGAAAACTGAAGTTCACTGCTTTGTCGGCCAGTCAGCGGTACTAACCGCAGATGAAACTTTGCCCGTTGAAGTTTAACTTTTAGAACTTTCACTGTACACGTCAAATCGACAAAAATGTTTGCTCCAAAGGTAGGGCCAATGGTGGCAACCCAGCAAAAAATAACTGAAAAGTAGACATAAACAGACACTTCTAAAGCAGAAATCTACCCATTCTTAAAGAAAACTGACAGATACCAGGTAAAAATTACTGCACAGTAAGCAAAAAAGGCGTTTAAAAAATGCTTGTACAGCACACTGAAACTGGTCATCCTAGCGTACCATGAAAGAAGTTTGCGTGAGTTTGCCAAATTAATTCTCAAACCAAGGAAAACAGAATACTCGTAAAGCAGAGTCAAAGTTGGGTGGTTAGATGTTGTACAAATCGTTTGCAAAGCACAGTTTGATAAGTGGTCTTGAATTGAAGTGGTCACAGCCGTCATTAGCAACACTTTATCAAGCGGGCCAATGCCCAATGACTTTTCAATTACTCGAAGAAAAACTGATGTTGGGTAAAAGTAATTGAAAAGTAAGAAAAATGACGTTGACCAGATGTTCACTTTTTTAGTAACAAAAACAAACAAGTTGATTTTATTTTTGAAATATATTTGAGGACTAAAAGGATATTGAAAATGATTTAGATTTAAATAGAAAAGAAGTTTTAAAAAGTGGTTAATTTGTGCATTCATAACTTGTTGTAAGCTAACAAATTGAACTTTATTTTTAAACAGCATTTTTATTTTTTAAAATTTGTAATCTAGTTATTACTCAAATAAACTATTAAAACAAATTGCGTTTTAATTTTTTGGTCATTAAGTTACTAAAGTAGTAAACAGTTTTTGAAACAACTAAATAATCAATTATATAAAAAATTAAAATGGCATTTTTAAACAATTGTTTTGACAGTCAATCAATAATGGTTGTTTTAATTTTGTTGTTTATTGGCTTTTACTAACGCTATTTTTGTTTGTTCGTTTTTGCTAGTTCATTTTAAATTTATCACCATTTTGCACTAAAAATCAATTAACGTTGTAAATGAACAATAAAAAAATTTTGTGAAAATTCTTTTTGATTTTTTATTGTTATTTATTGATCAACCACATGTTGATATGTTTTTTAAACCAGCCGTCTTTCTGTTTCCGTTGCTGCTGATAAACGCCACCACACTGTACGGCCACTTTCTGCTAGTCAGCTGGACCAAAAGAAAAATGTCCCCTGACACTGGAGCACTGTGGTTGCACACCAACTAGACTGATACCTCAGATGACGCCGCCAATCATACGGGGCCCTGGTGGACACCGTCTACCTGCTGCACTCTAAAAAATGGTGGGTTATATATTTGGCAAAAAAGCAAGGTTGCCAAGTATATTTGGCAATTTCTAAAACATATTTCAATAAAAGTTTTTTTCTGAAATGTCATTATCAAATCATTTTTTGACAAATATATTTGAACAAAAATTCACAATTATATGTCTGAAAACATTCTTTCCCAAATATATTTGGTATCACAACACGCTGTATATGAACAGTTTGACGCACAAAGCAAAACATTTTCTGCTGCTCACACACTCACTGTTTGCGTGACGCTCAAGCAACTTGTTTCAACTTGTGTTGCCTCATCGCCAAACTCTTCTTCTTATGAAGATCCTCTAGTCACAAGAACATCTCATTTCTCTGAACATGGATCCGTTTCCAGGTAATCTAAACACATGTTTTCTTTTCTTTAACAAAAGTTTTTTAGATCTTAAAGCAATGTTGACTAAATTTGGAAACGCATTTGCAATGTTGAAGCAAATACAAGAACTGAAACCTCAAACTCGCTCTATTCAATCCAGCGTTGCTGAACAAACCTCTAGTTTTTTGCCGTTGTCATGAAGTTCTCAATGGTGTTGACCAAGAACCAAAAACCTACTCTATCGCCCAAAACAATCTTTCAAGTGAAAGTGAACAGTCACAAGACTTTTCTGATCTTTTGGCTAAATCTCAACTTGTTAGTGATGATGACAATTCAAAAATCTATTTTTTGTTTACGAGCAACTTCTTTTCTCTACATGAAGGTACGTGTATCATTTTCATATTAAGTTAACAAAAATTCCTTTTCAGAAGCTGAGAACGATCAAGAAAAGACCCTCGACTCAAATCTCAATTCCT